CAATTACTTTAATTATTTAGGATTGTACAAATGGAGCTGATGAAAGAAAATGTATAATGGATCTCAATCTCTTTGAAAAATCCGCGAAACATAAACTTGACGGCTACGATGTGGAGAAATGGTTAAATACACCTTTGAAAACTTGTGCTTTAAGATGCAAAGAAGCTGATTTTACTTGTCGCTCATTTAATCACAAGTTTGTTTAAAAATTATTTTTATTTATTAAGTCATTATTTAATTACATATTTGATTAAGAAAAACTATATTGAAAAAAAAGGACTTATTATTTATTAAAGTAGCAAATTATGATTAATATTTATAATACATAATATAAATGTTATTATTAATATGTTTAATATAACAATTTTATAGAAATTCTTTGTAAAAGTATATAATTTATATAAGTATATAATTTATACTTGCTACATATATGACAAATGATTATAATGTATATAAGTATATAATTTATACTTGCTGCATATATGACAAATGATTTCTTGCCTAAGTATAGGATTTTTATTAACTATTAAAATTAATTATCGTTTCTATATATACCATATATAAATATATATATATATATAAATATAGTTATATATAAAGATATCATGTCTCGTTTTAGATCGGATGGCAATGTGTGCTTATTGAGTAACAGTAATATCGGCTTGACTGGTGCACTCAAACCTGATAAGGAATTTGATTATTATGAAATGCGAGAAAGAAGCGTGAACTGTGATGGCATGTATATTTGCAATAATCACAAGTGCATAAATCAAACAAAAGTTTGCGATGGCAAAAACGATTGCAATGATCGCAGCGATGAAAGTATTTGCACAGCTGAAAATTTTGATTACAGTATCCGTTTAGCTGGAGCAAATAACAGTTACGAGGGCCGAGTAGAAGTTAAAAGTAAGTAGAGTTTATTAAGAATATTATAAAACTATAATAATAATATAAATATAATAATACAAAACTACTACTAAATAAACTAGATAAAACATATCATATTTTATTATAATATTATATTACAATTTCTATTATTATTATTTCTATTATTATTTTTATTATTTTTTTTTTTATTAGTGATAGTACTTTTGATATATCTTCTTTTTATCACATCATATCGATTTATATATACAAATAAACATTTAGAAAGAAATCTTTTAATATATTTTTTATAGATAATTGAATGCCGAAATAAATCTATACGTTATTATTATAACAAAAGATTATAAGAAAAAGACCAAATAAATCTTTTGAAAATATTTTTTTCCTTTCGTTTCTCATACTTTTGCTGTATAAATTTAATCAATATCCGTATTATCGATAGTTTTAGGATATTGGGGACAGGTATGCGATGACGGCTTTGGTATGATTAATGCTGACGTTATTTGTAAAGAGCTTGGTTTCGAACTTGGAGCTTTGGAAGTTAGACCAGGTGGATTCTATGGAAATCTCGATCCACCCACGAGATTTATGGTGGATCAATTAAAATGTCGTGGAAACGAGACCACGTTACGGGAATGCGATTTTAACGGGTAGAAATTGATTGTTTTATATATTAGTTATTCGTATTTTTTTATATCTTCTTATATTCTTTGTCTAAAATTACAAATTGATTAAAATGGCAATACTACTACAGATTTGATAGGTAAATTATTCATATTCTTATTTCTAGATGGGGAGTTCATAATTGTCAACCGGAAGAGGCTGTTGGAATTGTATGTAAGATCGCGGTCAATACTTGTCAAGAAGGTTATTGGAAATGTGACAATAGTCCAACTTGTATACCGACTCCTTTCATTTGTGACGAAGTGACCGATTGTCCAGATCATTCCGATGAGAGTCCGGAACATTGCGATGTGAGTTACAAGAAAAATAAAAATAGTAGTTTTACATAAATATATAAGCATACGATTCGATGTATACGATACGATATTTTGACACCATTAGGCACCGTTTGAATTGCGCTTGGCGAATGGCAGTGGTTCTCTACAAGGAAGAGTAGAAGTGCGCCATCACGGCGTATGGGGCACCGTATGCGATGACGACTTTACAAATGCTACGGCAATGGTCATTTGTAGATCTTTGGGATACGGCGGTATTGCAATAGCTAAGAAAAATGGTTTCTTTGGGCCTGGTCAAGGACCAATATGGCTTGATGAAGTATTATATTCGTTGCTCACATTTAATTATTGTGTTCTGACATTTTCTCACTTGAACAATTTATATTGTAAAAATTTTTTAACTTCTATTTGAAATTTTTTTTCTCTTCTCTCTAATATATTTATTTATCTTATTTTATTTAATTCTTCCTTCTCATTTAAAATTATTTATTTATTATAATGACTTAATTATGTAGTTTGCTTTTTAAATATTAAACGTTAATAATTTAATATAGATAAGGAAAATAATAATTAATAAGTAATAGATAACAGCTATAACGATATATAACTCTACTGTTATTTTATTAAAATTCTGACAATTTTAAATTTTTATATAGGTTTTTTGTCATGGAAACGAATCGCAATTATATCGATGCGAACATAATCACTGGGGTCAACATAATTGCGATCATAACGAGGATGCAGGTGTAATTTGTTCACCTGGAGATATTAACAATGCCGAGGTAAATGAAAATTTTAATTCGTTACATCATAACTTTTTCAGAACTAAAAACTATCTTTTATCTGTTAAATTAAATTAAAGATAAATGACAAGTATTTGGATTCGATTTATTCACAGAAAATTTTTGTAAGATATTTAATTATTTGAAAAACGTATAATAAAATTGTACGCCTTGATATAAGTTTAATAATTGTGATTTTGGTAACGATAGATCTTAAAATAGACAAAATTTTATAACATTTATATGATTTGCTAGTTTATTTCTGGATTTTTCCTTTATTAAACAGTCATATTGGGTAAACGGCCAAGAACATCCGGAGCAAAACATTGACGAGTTACTCCCATCAAACTGTGGTCAGCGCGCCAAAGATTTTAATGACGATGGAGGCTTAATATTTCAGAAAGTGGTACATGGCTCCATTGCACCGAGAGGCACTTATCCTTGGCAGGTAGATTATTTACACAAAATAAATATTAGAATTTTTATATATAATAAAAAAAAATATAATAAAAAGATATAATGTGTGACTAAATAATAATAATAAAAAATTATCATTATTTAGTCACACATTATATTTAACGCTGAAATATTGCGTCAAATGTAGCAATATTAGCGATATTAGTTAACAGACGCAATAAGAGATTGTTAAATAAAATTTAGGCGAGCATTCGTGTCCGAGGGCACAGTCGATCGAGTCATTGGTGCGGCGCTGTTATTATATCGCCTCTACACGTACTAACAGCGGCACATTGTTTGGAAGGTTACAACAAAGGCACTTATTTTGTTCGTGCGGGAGATTATAACACTGACGTAAGCAAACAATTATCATCATAGTACTCCTAAATATGCGTTTACATTGATATGTATGTGATACTTTATGTTTACATTTTACGTTTATCAGATAAACGAAGGAACGGAAGTAGAAGCCAACATCGAAGATTATTACGTGCATGAGGAATTTCGTAAAGGCCATAGAATGAACAACGACATTGCTCTAGTCTTGCTTAAGGGCCTTGGTATCCCGCTTGGCAATGATATCATGCCAATTTGCTTGCCACCAGAAAATATTGAATATTCGCCCGGGCTGAATTGCACGATCAGCGGATTCGGTAGTGTCGAAACGGGCAAAACAAGTAAGTGAGCGAGATATTAGAAAAAAATATTTTAAACTATCCTTTTGTAGGATATTTTAGATCGTTTCTCCTTCAGCACAATCCAAAGATTTACGATACGGCTGGGTGCCTTTGCTGGACCAATCAATTTGTCGCGCCAGTTATGTTTATGGCGAGGGTGCTATAAGCGATGGAATGATGTGCGCTGGATATCTTGACGAGGGTATCGATACGTGCGATGGCGATTCTGGTGGTCCTCTGGCATGTTATCACAATGGTAATGCGTGTTGTAAATAATCAGTAGATTAATTAAATGAAAAATATGACACACGAGACGACAATAGCAATTGTTTTAGGTGGAATGCGCAATCAGAATTTTTTTTAATAAAAATATATTTATATAATATAGAGAATGGACAGATAACAAAATTTAAAATCTGTTATAAAATTTTCATATCTAAAAACCTTTTATTTAGGAATTTTTATTTAGGAATTGAAATCTGCTTTAAAATGAAAGCTTTATATTGACTTTTTTTTATTTCTAGATTAAACTAATAATTTGCAATAATTACGTTGTTAACATTATGTCCTTTTATATTATAGGAGCTTTTAGTTTATATGGGATAACTAGCTGGGGTCAACATTGCGGTAAGGCGAATAGACCTGGCGTTTACGTTCGTGTAGCATATTATCGTCGATGGATTGATAAAAAAATTAGAGAATCGCTAGCAGGTAGATGAAATTATAAAATTCGGCATTTATAAAATTTCAATCACACGTGCATATTTGTCTGTTTGTTTATTTTATTATCTTATTTTTCTTATATAAAAAATCAATTTCTTTAAATAAATTATAAATTACTAACAAACTAATATTCATTAACTATTGTAATTATAAATTACAATATTTTATCGTTATATGTAAATAAAATACTTACTTTGTTTTATTATATATATATATATATATCCTCTCCTATTCTTTCATTAATTCTCATTTTGACACTAATGTATACCTTGATATAAATAAAACATATCAATTATAAAATGCAGAAATAAAAATAAAATAGTCAACATAGTTCTGTTAATTTGTAATTTATTAAGACATCTTCGTTTCTACAGTAATAATAATTGATGATTTTCTCTGTGCCGCTTTTACATGATTGAGCCTATTTTATGTACAATCGTCTCAATATATCTGACCTGATTCAGTTCAAGGTGATAATTCAACGGACTGCGTTTATATAAATTAAATAAAAGAATTGTATAATTATGAAAAAAACGATATGTTTTCAGCTCGAACTTACATAGCTGTGAATAGCATATTATTATGTTTGAATCTATCATCAGAGAAGATGATAAAAGAAATTTATAATTAACTTATCAAAAATCGAAAGTTTGCTTATTAAATTACAATAATGATCTCTCAAGAGGCTGTTCTTTAAGCATAACTGATGAGATTATTACAATCTATATATAAAATATTTTGATATAAAAAAATATTGATTCAATATAACAAATTGAAAATCTGACACAAAGATTGTACCGAAAATTATGATTGTTAATTTGTTACAAAAATTTAAGGATTTATAAACATAAAAAATATGCATTCAATATATATTTTCTAATTTTTCTTTATCATTTTTTATTTTTTTTTAAGATTCCTAGCTAAAGGGATATCTTTTGTCAAAGTTTTAATATTAAAAGTCTGGCATTTTACTTTATAAAATATCGTATCTGTTTTCTTCAACTAATAATAATATTTATGTGAGAGGATTCGTATGTTCATTGTTATTATTTTTAATAAGAATAAATCATAATCATTATTTTCGGCATAATCTTTGTATAATTAAAAGTCCAAGTTTTTCATCTTGGCATATGTCATATCGATTTTTATCATACCGTATATCATATCGACTTTTGTTACTTATGTTTACAAATGCTTGTGAATGAAAACAAGTTCACAAATTATAGTAGATATATGATTCTATTAAAGACTTTTCCTGAAGAAACTGGTGATCTTGAATAACAATCTCGTAAATGAGATTTGTCATTTGAGATTTGCCATAATACCATTTTTCAGCATATATGCAAAAAAAATAATTATAAGATATTAAATACATTAGTTGTTCTTGTAAGATGACAAATAAAGTGTAAACTGCTCGCAGAATTTTACAAAGGAGATATCTACTTACGTCATATAATGTAATTGTAATCTTATTGTTACTTAAAGGAATGTTGATCAAAAATACGCTTAGCACAAAAATTAAAAAATATTAAATCTAACATCTCGATTTTACTTAATTTAGGCCCAAATCTGTGCCACTAAAAAATATGTCATAATAATTAAAATAATCATATCATAATTATGATGAAATTATAAAATGGTAATATAAAATATTTAAATCGTAGCTTCTTTAAAACATTATATAATAGAAAAGATTACAGAAAATTGTGCAATATATATTTTAATAAAGTTAAGAGAGTATCAAATAAAAAGAATATTCATATATATAACTTAAATAAAAAAAATATTGTTTAGATCGATTTGTCCCTTTAATGACACAAATTCAGGTTAAACTAACGATCTAATGACTAGATAGATTATTAAACAAATGTCGTTTCTTAATATAAAATATTAAACTATTGTCGATTCTCAATAAATTGAGAATAAATATATGTATACTTTAAAGTGGCGTTAGGCAATCTCGGATTGACGATCTGCGATTATCATCGCTGATATTAATCGTAAATCTCGACACGAAATGGATCCGTTTCCGCTTCCGCCGTATCGACTCTTAAATTCAGCCTATAATTTAAATCTAAGTAACGTATAGATACGTATATAATTATAGTATATACATACATGATCTTTTTTATGTACATATATCGTTAACTACAGAATTACGGCATTAGTGTTGTCGAATGCGAGGAGAAAAGTAGTGATAAAAGATTGTAGAAAATTGAAATAGATGTGATGGAAAATGAAAGATTAATAATAATCTGGAAAATGTTTTACTCGATTATGGAAACGACTCTGTACCGATGTGTCATATGTTCACAACAACTTTCTTGCTTAGCAAATCTATTGTGCATTGTGCTTATTACAGGAATTATACAAAATAACACGATAGAAATATCGTTGAGGACATGACACTGTGAAAAGTGAAAAATAAAGTGGAAGTGATTTTTGGTATATTAATGGAAGTTGAAGGAATTTATAAACAATGAAATGGGAATTTATAAACACGAATGACGATCGTATGATCGCGATATAACGATATGGATATTGACAATGTAATATGCACGCCGTTTAAGATGGTACATTATAATTACTTTTACCGTTAATAATTGATTTACGATGACGTGCATGTGTCGCTTTGTTACATTTATGGAAAAGTGTCACACGAGCTTGCAGCGCAACCAGATCTTTCGTTTGAATATTTATGAATTATTAGTAATCACAATTGAGACAATAATATTGGACAAAAATAATAAAATATTTATAAAATAACAAGTAAAAAATGACGGAATATATTGGTCACTAAATTTGTAAAAATGTTAAAAAGTATGTTCATAACAGCAAGTTTCGGCGCATATTCATGTATTTGTTTTTTTTTATCTAAAAAATTCTATATTAATATACATTGCTTATAAAAAGTTTTAAAAACATTTCTTGATGAAAAACGTACATTTAAGTTTGCATAGCTCATAGACACTTAACAATATAAATTATTCAATAAATCATATTTTTTTGATAATAAATGTATATATATATATGTGTGTGTGTGTGTGTGTGTGTGTGTGTGTGTGTGTGTGTGTGTGTGTGTGTGTGTGTGTGTGTGTGTGTGTGTGTGTGTGTGTGTAGTAGTAATAA